GACATCTTTAGCCCAACTTGAGGGGGAGTGTTGTAAGGCTTACTTGATAGTTGCTGTTACAGTTACAGTTACGGTTACTTGTTTTTTTTCTTTCTTTTTTCTTATTATTTTGATTCTAGGATATGCCGCCAGGGGCATACTTGTAATTTCAGATTCTTTTATGAAGTTAATATAAATAGAAAACTGGCGGCTGCCAGAAGATGCTTTTCTCTCTAAACCGTACCTCTCTCTTCCTCTTTCTCTCTCCCAATCCCCACGAATCACCACAGGACTAGAGGTCAGCCGTAATTCTCATGGTTATTTTGTTAATCAACATAAATATGCGGTGGATCTTGTCAGAATGGCTAGCCTCAGTGGTTCCAAGACTGTTGATACTCCTTTTATTAATTTGAAAGTCAACAAGGATGACGGTTCCCTTCTTGAAGATCATAGTCTCTATCGCCAGTTGGTGGGCAGTCTAATCTATTTTACTATGACTCGGCCAGATATTTTATGCAGTCCAAATTGTGAGCCAGTTTGTGTCATCTCCGTGACAACCACATTTGTCTGCAGTCCATCGGATAATTAGGTATTCACAAGGAACTTTATCTCATGACCTATTCTTCTCCTCCTCATCTTCCATTAGCCTCACCGCCTATGTAGATGCTGATTGGGCTGGTTGCCTAGGCACTTAACGATCCACTGCGGGCTGGTGTGTTTTCCTGGGTAACTCTTCATTTCTTGGAAGTGCAAGAAACAATCTATAGTATCAAAATTTTCCACTGAAGCTGAATACACAGCTATGTCCTCGGTGTGTAGTGAAATTATATGGCTCCAAGATCTTTTACATGACATACTACATGAGCCACCTCCCCCTGTTCCTTTCTTTGTAGACAATGCTAGTGCAATAAAAAATGCATCCAACCTTGTCTTCCATGAGTGCACAAACCACATTGAAGTTGATTGATTGCCACTTCGTTCATGATCTCCTTCATGCTGGCATTATTTCTCTTCACCATGTGTCCTCTGGGCTCCAACTTGCTAATCTATTGACAAAGGCGATGACTTGGGCACAACATCTGTTTCTCATGGACAAGTTGATACTTGTTCCTAGGCATCCATTTGGGGGGGAGTATAGAGATAAAGAGAGTTAACCGAGGGCTATTTTTGTAATTTTATTCTTTGTTGTACTTTAGATTCTTTTGTACACTGTTATTTGTATATTAAGGACAGATTAGTCCTTTACCTTTTTAATATAAATACCACTTTCCTGGGTGTCGACTGATACTTTTGGCATACCCACAAATCTGCTGCTCTCTCTCTATTATACAGATTCAGATATGACTCTGACAAGAAAGAACCAAGAAAAAAAGACCCCTATAGAAACAACCTGCTCTTTTATAAGACTCAATGGCTTGCTGGAGAAGCCAATTAAAATATTTACAAATGAGCCCCTAGAATGTTTCACTTTCACAAACAACTCGTTAAGAACAAAGCTAACTTCAAACAGACCCCCAAAAGGTAACTTTTGTTACAAAAAGACCCAAGAGACCAAAACCCAACAGATGTACACCCAACTGCCAAAAACAACAAATTATCAACAAAGCTACCCAAAAACAACAAATTGGGATCCTACTACAAAAAACATGCAAAACAGAATACATTCACATTTTTTCTTTATTTTTCTTTTTTCTTTTTTGTTTTTTTGGGCCTCATCAGATGGCTGAAGGAGAGAGGTAGAATTCTATGGTGATGCACAAGGGTGGCAGTTTGTTGGACACTTTGGGAAGAAAGGAATCAAATAATATTCATGGAAAAAGAAAGGAGTAGGGAGGTGATGATAGAAGTCATATCCATTAGAGTGGTTCATTGGGTGAAGACCTTGAAACTGTTTGAGGACATTCCAGGCAAGGTTCAAAGTATCAATACAGTTGTATCAAAACTTTTATATTTTGTTTAGTTTTTTTTTTTCAAAATATGTTCAGGGGGGGTCAGTTAAAGGCCTAGCTACCCCCTGAAACAGGTCTTACCCCGAAACTCTTAATATTTTGTATATTGGTGACCAACCGATACAATCTGTATTGGCCGATACGTGACAAAATTTTGAACCTTGATTCTAGGAGGTGAGTTGATGAGGAAGTGGAAGGAAATTGCCGATTCTGCTCCTCTTAAGGTGGCCTATAGACTTCATTGGCCCCCGCCTTTAAGAGGCTTCATCAAGTTGAATTTTGATGGTAGCAATGAAGGCAACCCAGGTCCATTTGGTATTGGAGGTGCATTTAGAACTGAGGAAGGAAAAATTGTTGCTCTATTCTCCAGTTCAATAGGAGTGGATGATGCTTTAAGAGCTGAAATACTTGATGTCATGGAAGGAATACAGAAAGCAAAGGACTTGAATATTCACAAGCTTTCAATTGAGGGTGATTCAAAGTTGGTGATTAGATGGCTGCAAAAAGATGAGGATGAGTGATGGTGGGAATATATTCATGAGAGGAGAATATTAGAAGGCTGCTTCAAGGGATGGGGGTCACTTTGCATTGGGTGAAAAGAGATGCTAATTCTTTTGCTGATTCTCTGGCAAAACAAGGGGTGGGAAGAAATCAATTATTTTTTTCTTGTTTGTAACTTGTTCATCTTTCGGAAGAGATAAGAGAGTTTATCTTTCCATTCTCTGCTATGTACCATTCTATCTCATTTAATGAATACTATTTCTGTTATTGATAAAAAAAAACCTAGATCATTCATAACTCATAGCAACTCAACAAGTTCCGTATGTTTGGATTTGTCATTGTACTTGTTTTGGCTTATGAATTTATATATTTATGATTTCTTATACTGTGTTCCTGGATTTACACCACACGTCAGAACTCGTTTAATGTAAAGTGCTTCAATTTTTCATTGTTAGGCAAATCTTCATCTAATAATTGATTGCAATACTGACAGAGAAGAATGTATTCCATTCAATTGGTGCCAACTCTAGTGGTCTGGGATATCTGGTCTGAGCTTGTTGACATGAATAAAGACATAAATTATGTCATATAATGCCATATTAGCTTGCATTTCAATGCTTTGATTTTTGAAAGGGGTCTATGATATTATTGCAGGCACTGGCTGCAGCATCCAAGACTGTTGATTGCCTAAAATTTGTGCATAGTTTGCATTGCTATTTTCTTCTTGTTGGGGATGTAGGAAGTAAGTAGTTTATCTATTGCCTAATATATTACTGTTGCAGTGTATTGCCTTTTCTCTTATAATTGTGATACGTACATTGTGACATTTATCTTCTAGTTTAAGGCTACTGTAAGAAGTAAGAAAAAGTTATTCCAATTTGTATCAGCAAAAGTTGCATTGGTCTGCTTTTGCTCATGACAAAAAAAGGGTTTTATTTATGCTCCTTCCTCTTGACTTCAGAGTAGAAATGTTTCATATATTATGAATCTCTATTAATATTAAATGAAGCAATTCGAGTGTAGTTACTGAAAAAAACAACAAATTTATTAACACACACCAACCTGAATGATGAAGAGGAAGAAACCTGATATATATATATATATATATTTTTTTTTTCTTAATAACTGTAATTTCTATTAATTTAGAAAAAGAATGGCCTATAACAAGTTCTGCCAAACGTCCTCTTAAAACTTAGCTTATAAGTGGCTATATAAAACCAAGTCACAGTTATTCAGTTTATATGACTCTGACAATAGTTCCCTTCTAGTTACCCCTTACATATCTAGTAATCTAGTCACTGATCTTAGGGCCCATTTGGGAGGGCTGAAGCTTTAAGTGATCTGTGTTAAGATGTGCCGAATAGGGGTAGTTTAGTCTTCTTCTGTTTATTAAGTAACTTGCTTATGTGGCA